GTTTGAACTACTTGAGATTTGCTGGATTGTGCCTGTTTTTTTGCTTCGTCTTTGATAAAAGCAGTCGTTGTCGAAGCTCCTACAATTCAAAACAATTATTTTCTTTTTCACGGAATTTTTCTGGCAATATGGATAAAGTTCAATGTACTTATTTGTTATTTAGTGGCTTATTCAAAGTAGAGACGGATGCGAAAGTGAGTGTTTGGGACGAAGGTGTTATATCTTCTTTTTACTCTTACTCTAACGTTATCCAAACCCTTTAGCAGTCGGCAAAAAACAAGAGTAATTTTCTGGATTTCTAACTGTAGGAAAAACTTGCATTACATCTACCTAATACCTAGAGCTCTTTGGACTGTTAGTGTAGGAGAAGAAAACATCTTCTGTAGACAATATCTCAAGTGAGTCTCGTAGATTTTGAAAATATAACAACTTGAATCATTTCTTTAGATTTCATGAGACAAAAGATATTAGTAGGTGAAGCAAAAAGTGATTAAAACTGACCAGGTTTTAATCGGTCATGTAAACTATGTAAGACAAAATCGATTGTTTTTTTTATTAAAAAAATTTGTAAAATCGAAAGTTGCTATATAGAATCGCTTTCTTTTCTGATTCTATAAACTGAATTGATTTTAAGCTGATTTTGCACCCAATTTTAAGATCGATTGCAAAATGGTTGTGTCCAGGTTTTATGATACACACATTGACTAAAGGACATAGCTCTTTATTTTCTTCTCGATATCGAAAGTGGGAGTGTTGTATATCAAGCGAAATATTCTTTTTTTTATTTTTATTTACCTGAAGGAGTTGGATTGATAGATGATGGAACCACAATAGGTACTGGTTGTAAAAGCGGGAATGGTGGACGAGTTTCTTCCAATTGAATAATGTGAAGGTTTCCTTGATCAAGATTACCCGTTACTTTGAACTGAGTAGCCGCCATCAGAAGTACTTCGTCTTCCGCTGGATAATACGAATGCTTGCGGATATCTCTAGCTGATTGACATTGTAAAGTAAACATTGTTCTGGCACCTGTCTTTCCCAAAAACAGTTCCGATTTTAGCACACTAACAGATGTTGTGCACGATGAGAAACCCCACCAGACGATTGTCTCTCCTTCGCTATAGCGCTTGCTAAGGTCTAATTTAACACCTCTGTATGCATTTATGGGAAGAAGCGGGAGACGAAAGAGTGCATTTAGAAAAAGTCTCAAATAAAGATACCACGGCTTCAGTTTTTGTTGCCGATCCGTTGCCCGTAATGTATTATTCAAAACGTTGTAGAGACATTCATCAAGTGGCTCCCATCCCATAGTGTATAGCATAATTGAGGCGGATTCATCTTGTGTTAATCCATCGGCAGGTTTTTTGGATCTTTGTTTGGCGACATAAGCGTGGCTCTGAACATCTGGTAATATAGGAACAAGTGGTTCGATGGCTTGTTCAAGTGAAACAAGAGGTTCTTTTCCATAACCGCTGATAGGCGCAAGAAATTCCAGCGGCTCCTGTGCGACATCAGTAATGCGTAATATTCGTTGTGCTGTCCCAGCTTCTCCACCTCCTGTGGCCATGTTTTTCAGCAGATTCGTTAATAAAAATTAAAATGATAAATATCTGAAAAGCAATAAACGACAACTTTTATAGAATTATTTTTACCACCATTGATCTTTTTGTCTCTTGGTAATAATCAAGTTTTAAGGACATTGGACTTTTCTTACACTGCTGTATTTGATCTTATATAACCTTCAAGATTTACAGTACGCCTAACGTTAGTTCTAATACTTATGTGGACATATTTTCTGATGACACAATCAAAGTAATTTTAAATTTTTATATGGAATTGCTAATCTCATAAAGATTTATTCAATACTGAATGCACACTATTTCCTTAACTATCAATTCCTCGTTGTCTAATTTTTTACTAGTTTTCTCAAAATGAGTTTCATTAAAATATAACTGTTTCTTCCAAAACTTTTTTCGAACTATTCTCTCCCTGATATTTCAATAAATGAACAGTGAGATTCGCTGAACACTTCCGAAGAGGAAATGTTTTAGCAAAATCTATTGAAGAGTGATGGTACCAGCAGTGCAGATATTAAACAATTGTGCTTTCAAATAAATGTAGAGAACAATAGATAGAAATACACCTATAGACTTAGCGTAAAATAGTGCTTGTTCAAGCGTTAGTTTTATGACGAATGATTCACTCAGAGCTCTTTATTTGTAAAAAAATTATTTGCAAGAATGTTGTACGAACTCGTCATTATGATTAATGATGATGGTAGCTTAGTGTTCCAGAAGAAAACTGCTATTATTACGATTGATGATAAGACCATGAAATTTCTCCTATTTCCAGTCAAATGAATATTGGTGTCAAGTTATCGTACGTAAAAATAATCGTATCATGTTTTTCAGAAAATGCCAGTATTGAAGGTTGCCTACGATGTTTTACAACTGTCGATTTTTTTAAATGAAGGTAGAGTAAACCAACGAAGTATTGCATGTTTCTTAATCAAAATGTGTTTGTCATTGTTAAAAGGCTATCATTATTTATATGTATTCAATTGAACGAAAGACAATTAAGAAAGAAGTTTTCGTGCTCCATTCATTTCAATAAAAGATCTCAAGATCTTTTCAAATGATCATTAACAATGATTGACGAAGATGAGAGACACAACGATGTTCGTATTCTGTTGCTCCTAGCATTTTCCAGCCAATATACGAATAATAATAATAATAATAATAATAGAATAAATTATAGTCTATTACGAATGCGCGAAAAATGTCGCTTTGTGAAGAATGCAACGTTTCTTTGCCCTTCTCAATAGAAACTTCTATCCATTAGGTTTGAATAACATTACCTAATCATATGACCATAATTAAAATTATAAAACCGATTATTCTTCAAAAAAATTAAAATTAAAATTAACATCGATTGGGAATAGTTTTCTTTTGAGCAAATTATAGCTAGATACAGATCGATTACCATGCGAAAGAAGAGTATGATATTGAACAATTTTAATTTTGACTTTGCAGTATTATCAGATGGTCGATAGTCTCACTTGCGAAGCATTTCATGTGATAAGAAACTTTATTTGTTAAATAGAACCTATTAAGACTAGAAAAAATATAGAATAAATTGTGCCCTTTCAGTCATTCTTCTCTAGTTTAATCCAATTTACCAAGATTTTTATTTTTATTAAGGTAACCAATAGCCAACAGAAAATTGCAATATTAGCTATACTGAAATGAGAAACGGATAGAACTCAACTGAAAGTCTGTTGAATGATAATTTGACCGACTTATTTAGCATCTGCCTTTGACAAACTCTCTGTCGTTATGTATCGTTCACAAATGCTCGCAGATAACGTAATTAAATGCTATCTATTTCTGGTAACGATCAAATCACATTCTGTTACATAGAAACTACGTACATACAATTAAATGAAAGGTAAAAATAAACTCAATTCGATGGAGTTTATCAGAAAAAAACCTGTATTCCTAATTAAAAGATATAACCTACACGTGATTCTACTTATTCGATGAACAATCTAAAAACTTAAATTCATCGTTTCTTATTGCTATTGACACATTTCTTCTATGAAACAAACGTCTTATTACACTCAAATTTAGTAACACTTTGTACTTGATTTTCTCTTACTTTTCATCGACGAAATTATAACAAAGAATACGTTGACTTTTACTCTATGAATATTTGAACGTATCATGCTAGTGATAATGAGTGTATTTCATAAATTTATTTATGTTCTTTTAGTTTTGATGACAACAGAAAAAAAATGATAACAACAGAATTAACATAGAGCTCTTGGTTTGCGATATTTTATTCTACCTACAACTACTTGAACTTTCATCTCTAAAATAATAGACCACGAAAAATAAAATATTTTTTAGATTTTCTACTTTCAAATTCATGTGTCTCGACTAGTAAAATATTTTCTGTCCGGTTTAGGCACAAACTATTAGCGGATCGTCCCATTATTTGAAGCTATGGTCTTGTGTCAAACACTAATTGTGCCGAAATTTCATTGAAAAAGAAATATTGATATTATGAATTGACAGTTCTCATGGAAGTGCTTTTTCACCCTTTATACAACGCTAGATCATTTGACGGCTTTGCTTTAGTAATGTAATATGAATATATAGAAATTTTTTTAATAGAAAACCGAATGATATTTTCAGTTTTCATACACCCAAAACAAAAACAATCGTACTTTCATAAAGTCATTGCTTTGTCCACCTGTCAATGAATTATCACCAAAAAATTAATGTCAACAAGTGTTTCACATAACATAAAAACACTAGAAAAAGGCCTACTTTGATGCAACTTTTTTTTTGAAAGCAGCTGTCCACATGATCATTTAGGATCTCAATTCAGTTCTCTCTTGATGAAATTAAATATAGAAATATTGAAGTAGGATTATAACTGCATGCTTCAAACATATAGAATCTCTAACTTCCACGGTGGATTTTGAAAGAATAAAACATAGACTAGATGGCTAAGTTTTTAGAGATGCCCATCAGGACTGAGCATCTGCCATTGCCTAGGGTAGAGAGCAGTCTTTTAAGAATAACGATTATTCTACATGCGAGCATTGCGATGTATTATAGCACTCTTGATTTCCTAATTCTGAAGAAAACAGTAGGAGGTTTGATAAAATTCTGTGGATTTGGAAATCATGAAATCGACGAAACTCAAACATCCATCAGAAGGCAGACATTTTAATATTGAAAACTATACGGTAGTTTTAGGATTCGAGGAACACCAATAAATCTATAATCTTGCAAAATCCACAGAACTCAACTAATCGAAGAGATTCACACAGTTCTAAGTATTCTAGAAGCATGCGAAGTCTATGATTTTCAATGAACTCAAGGTGATAACTGCTTGCTTTTAATAATTGAGTTAAATTGTATAAAAGAATTTTCTATTATGAAAACCTTTCAACTTCTGAGGAACAAAAAGTAATCAATAATTGCTCACAGTCGCATCCATATTTGCAGTATAAAAGTTTTAGTTTTGATTACAAAATCATTGGATCATTCAAATCAAGTTCTTATTATTGAAGAAATGCTTTATCAAGTTGCCATCTAAACGACTACAAGTCGGTCTATCAATATTTCGTTTATTCTCAGCTTTGCAGACGTTCTTTTACGATGTTTAATGACGTATATAAGTATATTAGAATACTATGGAACGTTGTTACTCTATAAAAACATTGTGTAGTATTCTCAGCTTCGGCCATATTCTGAAGATTTGTTGAGATGTGACTATGTTTATTTTGTAACACTCACAACTTTTGACTTAATCCTTAATTATTAACAAACATTTGATCACAAGCTGTTTGTAGAAAATTTTCATAAGTCTTATCAAAGTAAAATCATTACAATATGGTAATTTATGTAAAATCGAGCGTAGTCTGATGAGATTACATTTCTTAGGTTTATTAATCGTTATTGTTTCAAATATCCTCACCCAAAAATCAACATCTTTAGAATAGTTTTTAACTCATTTCATTTTTTATCAAGACAATTATCTATTTTGATATATGAGTTAGGGTTCACTATGAAAAAAAAGTGAGAAGAAAATGTTTATTCTATATTCACTCTTTAGAATAGAATTTTTGTTGTCTTGGTTTTTCTGAACGTGGCCAAACAAGACATTACCTTCTCAACTGTTTAACATTGAAAACTATCAACATTTCTATAATCTACTTCAACACAACCTTCACTTGTATCGCTCCTGCTATTATGTCCAGGTGGTTCCAAGAGCTTGTGGTACATATATTTTCAGTACTAAATATACCATGATTTAGAATGAAGTGATATTTAATCGGCGAATAAAGGGTGTTCATTAATGAAAAAAAGGATATTGGCAATATCTATATATAGGCGATATGTCTACACGTAACATTTCATAGATAATTTTTAATTGCAGACATGTTCAAAAATTCCAACGTCTGGAAGCGTTCTATTGAAGTTAAATCTCCTTTTGAAAAATGAGAATTGCAAGCAGCAATTCGAGATCACTCAACTAAATACGAATGAAGATATAAGTTCAGCATTACTCTAAAAACGGTTGATCTCAGTTTTAATCTCCAATATGATTTTAAACTGAATGCACCAATTACATTCAAATTCTTTGAAAATTCCTAGATTTACAGAAGCGCTTATATCCCTAGACTCGTGTTCTAGTTGTCAGAAGTAAGAATCTTGAAAATGGTTAGTGAATTTAGGAATAAAAATCTGCTTAAGACTAAAAGTGAGGCCAAGCAATTTCAAAATAGTAGTGAGTTTTCAACCCCATTCTTATTTAGTCGAGTTGTCTTGAATAGCTTCTTTCAATCATAGTTTGTCGGAGAAAGATTTAACTTCCACCGAACTTTAGCAAGTTCTGGTATATGACATGTAAAAATATCGCCTATATATATTGTCAATATTAGTCATCTCTATAAATGAATCACAAAAAAAATGATACTTTTCACATGTATGAAAACTGAAGGAACACATTTTATGTATTCATGTGACGCATACTATCATATCTCATGTGTAC